AAAAAACAATAAAAATATATTCGTAAATATTTTTTACATTTTTGGAATACTAAAATTATAAAAAACAACAAGTTTACAATTATTTAAAATGTGTATACATTTTTCTGGGACACCCTGCATATATAATGGTTGGAAATGTGCTTACCCGAAGGGCACCATTTCGGGCTTTAGGGTAAGCACCTTCCCAGACATCTGCAGATTCTTTTGTTTTAAGAATATGTACAGAAATCTTAGTTTGTGGAAAATATGGTCTATTTGAGGTTTATACTTGAAGAACGGGTGTGTCGCGTATTAAAAAAGTATTTTCTTGCCTCATTACACAGTCAGCAAAGCCCCGTGGCAAATCGCATAATTTGGAGAATTCGACTTTACAGATGTGATGTTTATAGGTGACTGAAAAGCTGCATAAGCACAGTTAACTTCTTTAAATTTTATATTAGAAAGCCTGTGTTAAAATGGTATCTTTCATGCGCTTTCGCGCTTATTTCGTGCTCCAGTGCATGGAGAAACAGTTATAAACAAAATGAAGCTTTTAGTTACACGTTTGATTTCGTATTCTAAATAGGCTAGGTTTAAAATATTGCCAAAAGTTGTTTTAAATTAGGCCTATGGTAATGAAACGTAAACCGACAAGTGACTTATGGTGGTAAATTGAAGGATTTTTGCCTTATGTATTTTTCTTGTACTGATTTATAAACGGTATGAAGGAAAAGAACACAAAACGTCCATTAGCAATGTCCTGCCACGTTAATTAAATGACATCCACAAACACCACGTGTCTGAATCTTCGAACATTTGAGCTAAAAGGGACCCATCGCTGTGTTGATATAAACATAGCAGCCGATTCTCAGTGTTTTCTGAGGTTCGACCAGAGCGTGCCTAGATGGGGACAAAAACTAAGTTCAAGGTGGATCCTAAAACTACTAAGTTGCACCTTGAAAACACTCCACCCTCAGAGAACGTTTACTATAAGGCCCGTTTGGGTGGGTATCTCAGGTGTACCAAGCATGTTATTCTCCCAGATCACAGGTGAATATGTCCAGTATCAGAGGTATGGGCTGGGCCAATGAGTAGGAGCACGTGACGCGTAACACTGCAACCCTCGTTAAACAAAACTTGATCGTCAACACTTTGTCACGTGAACTTACACGCAGATAGCTGTTGGGTGCCGTTTGCATTTGGCTTGAAGGCGCCTTTATCAGCTCTCTGTTCAGAAAATCAGTGGGGGTAGTAGGTCCAGATTTGGGCTCAAGTGGCCTATTTCCCGTAAACAGTTGTGTTTGGCAGCCTTAAGAAGCAAAAACGACTAGAATACAGTTAGTACAGTTATCTTCGGTTGGAAAATTTTGTAATTTTCTACGTCCGTCTCCAGTGTTATTCTGTCTGACCTACATATGGTTTTTCCCAATGCAGTCCGTCCCCTTGTTTAATCTCTTTTACCCACTAATGCTCCCCGCCCCCGTCTTGTTCAATGGCCGCTGCCTCAAAAGGCAGGTGTTTCAACACGTTGAGCTGAAGACCTTTGACCTGCTTCCCCGCGCACACACGCACTCTTGCAAAAACATTCTCGGCCGCCCACGTGCCACTTGAACACGCCACCCCTCGGCCAGCGCAGCACGGGCCGCAGTATAAAATATCCCCTTCGGATACTGTTTGAAACCAGCCGAACACCACATGAACTGGCAGCGACCACCTCTCCCCCTCATACACAACGTCCCAGGCCTGGCTTCGCCCTGCACACGTTTGAATATGCGTTGTCCTTTTTGTCTAGAGTCAGGCGATATGTGGTCGACTCATTTGTTATTGACTACGTGTATCCCCTGTTAAGGGTTGTACATTGTCTATTCTTCACTATTTGTCTAATAGTACTGTACTACACCAATTGCTGATACCACTGGGAATAAACATACCCATTATGAGTGGATACCGAGTCAAACGATAAACGATACTTGAAACAAGTATGTTGGGTCGTAGCATTTGTATCACAACCAAAATCTAAGTTAACCTGATTGATCGAAAGTCATAAAGTAATAGACGACTTTCCAAGATACTAGCTTTATTTGCAATCTCCCTATGGATATTTTTAGACACATATTAAAGAAAGACAACAATTTTTTCCTGCATTA